CGCTATTGTTTAAATGATTAATGGCAATTAATTGATCATTAATTCATTGCATCCCATATGGACTACATTTATGCTACTCTTACAGTGCTTTTATGTCATTTCACATATGTATATAAAAACATGGTACGTTTTGGTTAATGAGGGTGAGTTAATAATGGCAGAACTTTCATTATTTTGGGTAAACTACTCCTTAAATCACACACTCTCTCATATGTGCAGTATAAACATTATTTATGCGATATTTATGTGTTTAATTTCCACTCAGTAACTTGTGTGCAACTAAACTGTGAGGCTAGCATGTGCGGTATTCCGCAGCTCCCGTCTGTCCTCGGCTAAGCCTGCAGGGCTGAGCTCCTCTTAACCATGGAATCGCCAGCACTGCACTCCCTCTCTTGCGTAACTCTCTGATAGGCCTAACCCTTATGCGTAACAGCGGACGGGGCAAGGAGCCTGCGAGAACAACCACATGCTCATTTTTGTGCGTCGTTTATGAATGTATAACGTGTACGCTAATTCTTATTCCTTGGTTCTGATGCTTTTTGACGGATGCAAAATGCACATATCTTGGTGTAGTTAAACAGAAAACAAATTTGCAAATCTCTAATGGTTTTAGCAACACTAAGATGTTAAAAATCTAAAGAGGTAGTTAAATCCGTCGCTAACATCCCTCTAGGTTTTTCTATTTACATATTTCATCTCATCCTTTTAGGTTTTTAATCCCTTAAGGAAGTCAAATCAGTATAGGTGCCACAATGACAAATGGGCAGTGTTGTTGTATTGGTAGGGATGGTGATGACATCATGTCCTGTTGGAATGTCATGGTGGTGTGTATGATTGCTCTGACAGGCAGACTATACAGGCCTCCTACCCACAAACCCAGGGAGGCTGTGGTCGTCCTGGCAACAGTGACACAGACACGGACGTCTCCTTATTTCATATGACAGGTCTACGCACACAGGCCCTGTGGCCATTCTCACACAAACAGACACATCCAATATATTCATTCAGACACAAACATACTCATACTCAACCCACAAACCATTTATTAAACACGCATGAACTGAATTTATTTCTCAACTTCTATAATGCATTCGGCGATTCAAATTTTGACTTGATAACAGTAACTAAACTAATTCTAACACGACATAAACACACGCAGCATGGCATATTTTATCGATGGTCAATACTGCTGTGGCCTAGCAATCCAACGCCCTGCTTTTAGAGGGCTATAAATAACTTCACAGCTTTTGTGTGCAGTTTAAGGTTAAAAGAGTTATTTACAACACCGTTTTTGTTTGTTTGTATGAATGTGTTCAGGTTTCTATGCTCATTTGACCCAGTTTGGCTCTGGCACTGGTCAAAGTGGGTCACGAGAGGAACCGGTCCAGTGTTCATAGTCTGGGGCCAATGGCGAAGAACTCACAGTCCTTGTTACCACACACATAGCCTGAAGATTTAAGTACCAGAGCATTTTACACTGCTGAAAACACCATTCTGTATTATTTGGCCTTAAAAAGCAAGGACAGGGTGTGCTAGTTTTTCTTTTTGAATAACTATTTTCACATGTCTTACTGTGTCCCCGCAGATGATAATATTAGTGCCTCAAGATGAAATGCAGTGATTACAGAATAATTAATTGTTCTGAGGAGCCCTAAAAGTGTACATAACTCATTCTAATGAAGTAAAATGAAAACACTCAGGAGCATTCATAAGTTACTGTTAAGCATAATGGTTTCAGTTTTGATGCAAAACAGGTAAAGGCACAGTTATCCATATAGGAATATTTTTGTGGCATGCTGTCTGTAACCACATCCATCCATCTATCTATCATTAAAAATAGTACATTTAGTCATTTAGCAGACGCTTTTATCCAAAGCGACTTACAAATGAGGACAGTAGAAGCAATCAAAACCAACAAAAGAGCAAAAATATGCAAGTGCTATGACAAGTCTCGGTTAGCCTACCGCAAAAAAAAGTAAAAGGTAGCAAATCAATGTATTAAAAATATATTTACTGAGGTATTTTTTGTAGTTGTTTTATAATTTCCCACCATTGGTCTATGGCTGCACAATTAACCTATCCCATTAGAACACTAAATTTTTTTTTCTCCTAGTAAAAATTTTAGCTACAATGTCGAGCGTAGAACGTCACCTGACCAAACCTGGAAAAAATCGCTTCCGCTTGCCGGAGAACGTATTAAGAGACGTATTAAATAGCGGCGCTATATCTATAGACTTTTAAGGTAATCAGTTAAACTAGTTTTTATTGTTGATGTTTTATTCTATTTTTATATGTAAATGTTAGTGAAAAGAATAAAAAAAATTTAAATTGCCAAAAAGGCATTGAAATGTATTAAAAATATATTTACTGAGGTATTTTTTGTAGTTGTTTTATAATTTCCCACCATTGGTCTATGGCTGCACAATTAACCTATCCCATTAGAACACTAAAATGTTCTTTCTAGATTTTTTTTCTCCTAGTAAAAATTTTAGCTACAATGTCGAGCGTAGAACGTCACCTGACCAAACCTGGAAAAAATCGCTTCCGCTTGCCGGAGAACGTATTAAGAGACATATTAAATAGCGGCGCTATATCTATAGACTTTTAAGGTAATCAGTTAAACTAGTTTTTATTGTTGATGTTTTATTCTATTTTTATATGTAAATGTTAGTGAAAAGAATAAAAAAAATTTAAAAAAACTTTTAGATATCAATCCTGATATGTGATGGACATTGGTTGTGATCATTTTTGTATCTACTTTGAAGACATCTTGAGTAAAACAGCTTCATATTTAACGAAGCATATGCAAAAATCTTGAACCGGAAGTGACGAGACCCATTTAATAGAATATGGAAGTCTGTTGCGCATAACCCCTATTGCCAATCCTGCTTCACATTTCAAGTCAATTCAAGGTGACATTGTCATGGGAACGACCTTGCTTGTGGTCCCTGTAGCTGAGGGTCATTGAGGGCAAACACCCACCCCCATAACCACCAAACCCACAGACACTGTGGCTTAAGTCTAGTGTGCTAGACAGAGACAGGAAGAGCTACGGCCCAGACCAGCCACAGCTTAACCAAGCAGCACTAGTTAATGTATATGTGTGTATGTTAATCCCATTATATTGCCCACAGTGTGTGTTTATGTGTGTACATTAAATTTTTCATATATTAATTAATGTTGCACAAATTTCACAAAAGCAAATATTCACATATTCATAAATCGTGTATGCATATTCACAGTATGATAATACAAGATGCATACTGGTCAGCGTATAATATATACTCAAGTCAGCCTGTCTGAGTTTTTTATTCTCACAGTCAGATTAGCAACGCACACACATAACTAGAGATGCACTCACACTTTCAAACCTCTGAGCTTCACACTTCGGTCTCAAGTCAGGTGTGTGTTTGCGTCTACAGTGCTTCTGTCTGAAAATGAAGACAGATGTTGTAGGTAAGAGGACATTTCTGGTTTAAAGGGGTCTTAGTTTGTTTTGCAGTTAAAATATCACTTCGCATTCAAGCAAGTACAATATAATTTCATTTAAGCTCTTTTATGAAGAACTGCTGTTCTTAATAATGAATTTGGCTGGTAAAAATAGCAGTTGTGCTTTATGTATTTTGTCATTTTTACAAATATTCATTTATTGCTTGATTTCATTTGTTTTTATGTATTATCTTATTCTTTAAGTCAATTTCCTGTAAACTGCAGAAATGAAAATAAACTCAACTCACAAATGAAACATTTTGTAAAGAATTATGCAAAATTGTTGTATATATATATTTATATGAAAAATGTAACCGTTTTTTAATCTGGAATCATAGCTCAGATGCGTATTTTGTATGTTTAATTGATTTAATGTAAAGCATGAATGCGTATAAACTAATATTGCGGTTAAATCTTAGATCATGAAACTCATGATTGACATATGACTTTATTAATATTGTGGTCAGTTTTGGTAAGTTGTACTGTGAGTGATGGATCTTGCATGGAACTCACTTAGCAGTTCTTCTGCTTCTAAACTATATTGGAATTGCTTCTGAGACTGCTGTTGCATTTGTATTGGTTTCATTAGCGAGCTGCTTGGACTAATTGCTTGTTCCTGTGGTCCTAAAGAAAACAAAATCTACATGCAAATGTACAAGAATAAAATTACCCATAACAGTATAAGAAATATTGCATTTGTTCTTTTTTGCACATTTTTATGTCATTATAGGCAAATGTGAGTTTGCGTTTGAGTGAGGAAAGATTAATTGAGAATTGCTGCATCAGATAAGCCAGTTGAGAGCAGGGGAACAAGCATGTGTAGAAATAATTTAGGATTAGATTGGGTGGCTAATCTCTTTATTGTGAGTATGCCATCTCAGCAGAGAGATGGGTTTCTCTCTCTGTCTTCCTCTCCCTCACTCTCTTTCTTTCTCTCTCAAAGGTTTTCAGTCTCCTTTTATCTTTTCTTTTACATTTCCTAGTGACACGAGCAAGAGAAGGGAAGGTTGGAGCTGAGCCTCACGGCCATGTATTTGTATTTGGTTCCTCATTAAACAACTTGCCATATTCTGGTTACGTAATTCAGTGTGTAGCTTGCTTCTGCCTTTGCCTTGTACATGTGCAAGGTTATTTTCATCAAGGAAATCTCTCAAGCATTATGCTTCAAATGGATAATGGAAGAAGAACATTTTGACAAAAGCACAGGTGAGAACCCATTTTGGTGAACCTGAGAGAAATGCATCAAGGGGTTTGGACCTTGACTCACATCTCTCGGCTGGTCTAATGTTTCTCTTTCTGTCTTGAAAGAACCACACATTACAAAATGTCAAAGTGTCTTGACACAAATTTAAAGGGTACATCTACTCGAAAAGCAACAACACTCTTATAGAGTCAAGGTGGCCATTGTGTCACCTGAGAGGTGCCCTGATGTGCATCCCACAGTCTTCATCAGGCAAATAAAGGCATATGGTTACATAATTGTATTTTTGTTCATTTCTGTCTGTTTTCAGCCCAAATTGAAGTCATACCATGCAAAATCTGTGGAGACAAGTCATCAGGCATCCACTATGGAGTCATCACATGTGAAGGCTGTAAGGTCAGTGAAAGATGTGCCGTTTATTCGGTGCATTTGTAAGTCATCATACAGGTGTTCCAGCCATTCATGGACTTTAGCAAAAAAAACAAAAATCAATACTTTTCTAAGCTATGTAAGCATTCTTAAAACAAGATAAAGTTATCCAATGCGGTTTAAATGTTCTATATTACGACCTGATTTCATAGAATGAATGATTAACAATGACAGATTATATTAATATTATTTTTTTCATTTATAATAATAATAATAATTCATTTTATTTATGGGCACTTTTCAAATCCTTCAAGGACACATTACACATAATAAAATACATAAATAATAAATGAAAAGAAAACAATGCACAATAATACACAAAACCTTTTCAATCAAAATAAGCTAATCTTAAAAAAACACTACAACTATTACAAATGTATTGAGGTAAGGTATTCCAAAGACTAAAGACTATATACTGTTTTCATTCTAGACAGAATAGGTTCATTCTCAGAAAAAAAAAGTACAAAGCTGTTACTGGGGCAGTACCCTAAGGTACAAAAGCCAGAAGGTACATCTTTGTACCTGATTTAGCCCTAGATGGTAAATTTTTACCTTAATAAGGTACTAATATGTACCTTGTGTATGTACTTTAAAAGTACATACATAAGTACCTAAAGTGTACAAATTAGTACCTTTTGATATGGTGCCACCCCAGTGACTGATATTTCTGCATGTTACGCATCTACATTTTCTGTTGTTGTGTCCACTGTAGGGTTTCTTCAGGCGCAGTCAACAGAACAATGCGTCCTACTCTTGTCCCCGTCAGCGCAACTGCCTGATCGACCGAACAAATCGCAACCGCTGCCAGCACTGTCGGCTCCAAAAGTGCCTGGCTCTGGGCATGTCCCGGGATGGTAAGCGATATCATATTCTTTCTTACAAACTAACAACTAATCAGCTGCTTGTCAACAAGCTTGATTGATCTTATTGATCTCTTTAAACCTGCACTAATCTCATTCATTTTCTTTCACCCTACCCCATATCAGCTGTTAAGTTTGGCCGCATGTCCAAGAAGCAGAGGGACTCTTTGTACGCAGAGGTTCAGAAACACCAGCAGAGGCTGCAGGAGCAGCGGCAGCAACAGACGGGCGAAGCGGAGGCCCTCGCCCGTGTTTACTCCTCCAGCCTCACCAATGGCCTCAGCACCCTCAACCACGAGATTGGGGGGACGTACGCCAACGGTCACGTCATAGACATGCCCAAGGGTCAGCCGAACGGCGCTCCCGGTGGCTACTACGGCATGGATTCCACGCAGGCCAGCCCGGATCAGTCAGGACTGGACATGACTGGATTGAAGCAGATCAAACAGGAACCCATTTACGATCTCACCCCTGTTTCCAACCTTTTCACCTACGGCTCCTATCAAGACAGCCAACTAGCACCTGGAGTGTCTATGGGGGAATTAGGTACGGAATTAAGTTCATGGTTCTTGGGTGTATATTTAAAATGCTTTCTAGCAAACATATTTACCTTGGTTGCAAGAAACAGTGGTCCTACTGTATATTCTGATTTTCTCTTTACCAGACCGAATTGCACAGAACATCATAAAGTCCCACCTGGAGACGTGTCAGTACACAGCGGAGGAGCTTCAGCAGCTAGCCTGGCAGACGCACTCCTATGAAGAGGTCAAGATGTACCAAAGCAAGGTGCGAGGTCACTCCCTTAAAGAGCAAAGAGCTCAGTTTACATGCTTAAAGGTCCCCTGAAATGCTTAGAAACCCGCAGCGTTACTCTATGTGTTGACATAATTTTAACTGAAACAGGAAGACAGGGCGGGACATATCAAGCAGCCCCGCCCCTTTTTAAAATAGCCAATAGCGTTAGTTTATATCACAGCTTGGGCTAGAGCCGTTGAGCTCCGTAAAGCCGCATTTGACAGGGTATGCCAGCCACAATCTCATCCATATTGCTATAAAATATAGCATTCTGTGTAGAATTCAAATAGCTCCGATACATTTTGTGGTCTGTGCCGACTCGCGCATGTGATCCGCTCCGTGCTATCGTGTCTCTGGACCGGAGCAGAGTGTGTGTGTGGTGCGGTGGTTAGCGTGACAGCGTGAAAGCAGACTTCTTTTTTTCCTCAATGGAAAGCATATTTACACTGTTTGAATCGTTCCCTGTCCCCTATATAGTGCACTACGTGCCATTCACTGTACAGAAAATACTAATTCTGTGGACAAGTGACCGATTTCAGCCGCGGCTTCAGTGTCTATTTTGTAGTGTAGGGGGTGGGCGCTTCGGATTCTAGAGAGCATTTGATTGGACAGAAAGTTTGATGCGAAGCTGAAGTACGATGTGACGTCAAAAAAATCGTTGAGTCGTTTTGGCGGAAGTGACGAACTGCAAGCTTTGAACGCTTATATCTTCTAAATGCGAATTTTGTCACCGTTTTGGAGCACACTGCCTTATAGATAACCTTAAGACTAACATATTGATACTAACACCCAAAAAACTTTAATTTTGATTTCATGGGGACTTTAAACACTTCCTCTGTCCCTGAGTCTCACTCACAACGCCAAGTCGTTCATTCATTTACATGCTTTTACACCTGCTGCTGACTCTCTCATCCTTTAACTCCGTACTTCGTTCCCTCTTAAAAGTCAGATTGCACACTTGAGATCAGAGTTCATTAGAGTATCTCAGCCCCCTGGAGCTGATCCTATCCAGCTTTCGCACTGATACGGAGAAAACGAGAAAGCCAGAGAGCTAACGGATTTAGCTAACGAACACTCAAAGCACAATAGGGGAGGGTGCCAGGCGTACTACAAGCCCTCTTCATTTGCCTGTGTCAAATGGATTATGGGTAATTACCGAGAAGCCCTTTGAAATAGTGCCTATGAAGATTCGCTATACAGGGAGAGAATTGCAGAGCTCACAAAAGCAATTTGCTGATATCACATTTTCAGTATTCTGTGTGCTCTGAAAGGATGTTTCATAAATGGGAAACTACAAATTCTGCCTTTTTTGTCGCAATTTTTCATGAGTACTGAAAATTTCAATCATTACTTTTTTAAAGTAAATTAAAGAGTCAGAGTGTACTCTACAGAAGAGATAGGTCTACATTAATTCAGGGAAACTGTTTTGTTTCAACTCCATTTTTTTTTATATATTAACACTTTTTATTCAGCAAAGTTGCATTAAATTGATCAAAAGTCCTAGTAAAGACAAAAAAAACTTAAATAATGTTCTTTTGAACATTCTGTTCATCAAAGAATCCTGAAAAAATGTATCACAGTTTTCATTGATACACTGATAATAATAAAAAAAAAACATTTAATGAGCACCAAATCAGCAGAATAATAGAATGATTAGAATGATTCCTGAAGGATCAGAAATCTACTGAAATCTAAAAAATCTACTGGCTACTGAAAATTCAGCTTTTCCATTCCAGGAATAAATAAAAAAATATATTAAAAAAAAAGTTAATGTTGTTTTAAATTGTAATTATATTTCACAATATTACTGTTTTACGGTGTTTTTTTTATCAAATAAACGCAGCCTTGGTGAGCATAGAAGACTTCTTTAAAAAGCAATATGTCCTGACTTTAAACTTTTGATCCCTAGTGATATTTCTGATTTCTTTAAATATTTTTGGATGTGATTAGACAATAATGATAATAATTAAAATATTTTCAATGCATCCAAACAAGCTCAATTACTGCAATTATTAACAGAGAAAAAAATGTTTCCCAGAAGCATGCAAGAATTTATCCTGAACACGTCACAGATGACAAGCTTATGCATGAGGCTTATGTGTGTGTTTCAGACACGGGACGTGCTGTGGCAGCAGTGTGCTTTACAGATAACTCATGCCATTCAGTATGTGGTAGAGTTTGCAAAGCGCATCACTGGCTTCATGGAGCTTTGCCAGAATGACCAGATATTACTACTCAAATCAGGTGAGGAAAAGCCTCTGCCAAACTCGTTTGTGGATCCACACTATAAAACAGAATGACCAACTGTACATATACTCACCATATTGCTACTGATTACGATTAGCCTGCTTAACACTTTTCTCACATACTCAGGTTGTCTGGAAGTAGTGCTGGTCAGAATGTGCCGGGCATTCAACCCGCTCAACAACACGGTTCTGTTTGAGGGGAAATATGGAGGCATGCAGATATTTAAAGCTCTAGGTACAACTACTTCCTATTGTCTCATTTATATTATATTTTCTGTATCATTTACAAAATGTACATGAAATAAAAATAGTTGAACATCATGTTAAAGGATTAGTTCACCCAAAAATTTAAATTATGTCATTAATTACTCAGCCTCAACACAAATTAAGATATTTTTGATGAAATCCGAGAGCTTCCTGACCCTGCATAGACAGCAACGCAACTGACACGTTAAAGGCCCAGAAAGGTAGTAAGGACATCGTTAAAATAGTCTATGTGACATCACACATGCGTCGTGGTACTTTCGTGGACGCATGTCGAAGACTGACACGGAAGAGAAGAAATTGTTAAATAAAGTTATTTTTGTTTTCTTTGCACACAAAAAGTATTTTCGTAGCTTCATAAAATTAAGGTTTAAGCACTAGTGTCACATGGACTATTTTAATTATGTCCTTACTACCTTTCTGGGCCTTGAACATAGTAGTGCAGGTGAGTAATTACAGAATTTTAATATTTTGGGTGAAATAACCTTTTAATAAAACTGCATTAATTGTAAATTATTAGTGATAATTTCAGCATGCAATCTGATATACTGTATTTACCTCTTGCAGGCTGTGACGACCTGGTCAGTGCAGTGTTTGACTTTGCCAAGAGTCTGTGTTCACTGCAGTTAACGGAAGAGGAGATCGCCCTGTTTACTGCTGCAGTGCTAATTTCTACAGGTCAGGCCTCAACAGTATCTTAGTTAGAACATAAAGATGTGTTCATTGAGTATTAATGTGGCCAAATCAACATTTAGTATGTTTATTTAATGAAACTATAGTCTGAGTCCTACATAGCCTACAACAGATTTCTCAGCATTCCTGCAGTGTTTTCACACCAGCAGATATTAAAAGATGATTCTCTTGCATTTCTAGACCGGCCGTGGTTAATGGAGCCCAGGAAAGTGCAGAAGCTACAAGAGAAAATCTACTTTGCCCTGCAGCACATCATGCAAAAGAACCATCTGGACGAGGACGTGCTGGCCAAGGTAGGACGTCTCAAGTGACCGTGACACAGTTCAAACAGGGACTGATCACCTGACTGATGTAACTCAAATAGATTGCTGTTTTATCATGTGACCCTTATTCCTCTGTACCCCGTTCTGCAGCTGATTAGCCGGATCCCCACGCTGTCGGCTCTGTGCACTCTCCACACAGAGGAGCTTCAGGCCTTCCAGCAGCTCCACCCAGAGACAGTTAACATGCTGTTTCCCCCCCTCTATAAGGAGCTTTTCAATCCCGATGCCGCTGGCATCATGCCCAAATGACCGCACACGTTCACACGCACACTTCGCATACTCGTTCATTCAATAACCGGAGGTGTTGCAGAGGATGAGCACTGTGTCGCAAGCATCCGCAGATTTTGCCGCCACAACAAACAAAAAAACTCGAGGAATGTCCTGCACTTCAAAAATCCAATTCAATTTCACCGGTACAGTCATAAGAATGTATATATGCGCCAGCAGCAAAAGGCGCCTTCCGTTTGACCAGAAATGTACAGACTTTAGGACAATTTAAGCCGTCTTTAAATTGGGTAAGTTAATTTGTTTGTTTGACTTTTCTCGCTCTCTCTCTTTTTTTTCTCTTTTCTTTTTACAAAATATTGTTATATTGAAATGAGAAGGTGGGGAGTGCATTCAAAATGATAATGTAGTCTTTCTCTAGTACAAAGCGGTATTCCAGTATTAAATCTTGTTCTGTTAATATTTTAGTCATAATTTAAAAACAACAGTGGTCTGAAAGGCCCGTACCTTGTCTATGTAATTTTTCGTATTTGTTTTGTAGTTTTACCTGTACAGAATATGTGAAGTTGAAACTGGTATAAGGTTAACGGGGGACTAAATTAGTTTGGCCACGTTTAAAAGCCTTGTCTGGGCTCTGTAGATATGTATAAATGGCACCACAACATTAATCCTACAACTAAGGATTTTTGAAGTGGAAAAATAATTGATAATGGATACTTTTCCATACAAAAGTATAGAGATATATATTTTACAAAAAAATTGTATGGCTGATTACCATCTTGTCAGTCATAGTTGCAATAACAGTTGCTGTAACTGCTGAAAAACAATCCGGTCAAATGTGACTTTATGGAAAGCCCTCAGAACTGCTTCAAAATTCTGTTTTTACTGCCACACTGCCAAAACTAATATAGCACTAGTGTAGTTGAGCTGCAGCCGTCTGTCTGGGAAGACATAAATCACTAGTACATGATCATTTACTGCCACTGATAAGAAGTCAAACTCAACTCTTTTCTGCCACATTCATAGACTATTCTCTGACTTTAGCAATAATGTCTATTATGTCATTACATGCCTAGGTCAGGCTGGGTCTGTGGTATTCTTAACCTTATGCTAAATGTAAAGCACTCATCCTTATTTTCAACATCAATTCATTAATGTTGTCTGTGTTTCTGGCAAAGCATAATTCAAGATAAAAATCAGTCAATACCAAAAATGACGTTTTTCAAAGAAAACAGTCATGGAATTTAAGCGATCAATTGGAACATTGACTTGTTTAAAAAAATATATATTTCAGACATTCCATTGGATTTTTTAAATCATGTTTTGGAACTAATCCTGAAAGATCACAATCAAATCGTAATTCCTATATAAATTAAATTCCTAGTGAATAAACGGAAATTTCTATTTTTTATGTTCTTATTTATGTATTTATTTTATTTATTTATAAACTTTTTCAACACAAAGTGCTACATTTACAAAATAAAAAAGGAATATCGTTCTGATTAGGTGATTGTCTTGGAGTTTATCTGGTTACGAAACAATTTTAGCAAAGCAGGTTTAAATACGACATTCTTAGACAGTCATTCTTAAACAACCACTTAGAAGTTTCCTGTAACTCAATATTGCTGAGCATCCTTAACTTGCTGTAGTCCACTGTTTGTAAAAATCTTAATGCAATTGGGAAATGACAATCATCTTGACTACTCATATTGCAGTATAGAACAACAAAATGCAGCTACAGTAGGAAGACTAGTAGTTCTACGAGGGCAGTTTGGGTTTGGACCCTTTCGGTCCAAGGTAAATCTTGTAAAGTAGCACCTCATACCACCAGGTGGAGACACTGGGAGCGCTTTTCCCTCTTCTCTTGACCTGTACTCACAGGATGTAAAGCCATGTCAGTTTCTTATGAAGGAAAGAACACAAACACTCAAGCTAGGAGTTGACATGCGGTTATACCGATCAGTGAATTTTTAGTACGTCTTGATGCATTTATATTTTGAAATGCACTTGAAAGCACTTAACAATGAAGGATTAATAACTACAGATGGTATTGGTATTTAATACATGCACAAATGTAGTCTGCTGAGAAGCAATCATGCCACCTGTTCAAGTCCTCCTACTGAACCAAACGCTCTCAGCCCAATTTTAGGGATTTTTTCCAATTCCTTCAGTGTCAGTTTCCTGTTCAAGACAATCATTTCTGGGTGCAGTTTTTTCCTGGCACCCATCTCAGGGACTTCTCTTTTAATGTTTTCAATAGAAAGAGAGTACAATTTTAAAAAAATATGGACATTTTTAGGGAATAAAATACAATCACAGCGGTTTCTTCACATACAAAACCAACCCAGACAAGGCTTTGGTGTGTGTGTGTGTGTGTGTGTGTGTATAAAGCGTATATCCATCGTTGAGAGGTGAAACAAGCTCGACTGCAGAACAGGCCTCGCTGCACTGCATCGCTTGTTGCAGCAAACAGCTCTCTCTCTCTCTCTGTAAATATCAATGTGCAGCAGTGTACTAGCAACGGTGCCTGTGCTCCAAATTAAAACATTGTAATTATTAAGCATCTCCTGAAATGAAATGGATTTTATGTAAGTTAAGACTATTTATACAGAGCATGAATAAGCTGCTCTCTATCTATTTCTATGCTCATTACAGAAAATGGATTCAGTCAGAAATCATTTTAAACTTATGATGAAGGCTTTTTTTTTTGTATTAGACTGTGAATTGAGGGCGAGAGGAATTTGTATCTATATGAGAACACTGTTAGGTACTGTAGCAATAACTGGAAGCATTTACTACAGTCATCTTTGCATTCTAAGATTATTTTAATTTTATTATAATTCTATTATTATTAGCCTATTGTTCAGTTATTCTTGCATGCCGGTTCATAATAATGAAACCTTTGGGCTTTTGTGTTTTTTATGTGTTGATGATGAAGGGTGGGCAATGGGGAGGGCGTGGAGTTGGGCTCGGGCTCGTTTTATTCTGAATGTTTCTGGGTTGGTGTTGACGGAACACAACACACCCTGTTCATTCTGTTCGCGGACACAGACATAAGCACAAAGTATTTCTTAATGTGAAGGAATAAAATAATACAAAGGCATTGAAGGTCAAAACATACTTTATGCAAGTGCGTGAACGCGGACGCAAGCTTGTTGCGCACGAGGCGTTATGGTGGGAATTTTTCTTTGAGGACAAATTCTGTTATGTGGGACAGTTAGTTAACCGTTAGTTAACGTCTGTTTATTACAACTTAACCTGAATAATAACATCTGGGTTTCTGTCAGAGACATCTGAATGTCAACGCAAGAGCTCACGTTGGCAGTGCGTCGATTAAGTGCTTGCGTCTGCGCATGCGTACTTTGAGTATGTTTCGACCCTTACAAATGTGACCCTGGACCACAAAACCAGCCATAAGGGTCTTATTTTTTTTATTGAGATTTATACCTCAGCTTTCCATTGATGTATGGTTTGTTATGATAGGACAAGTTATGATTTGGCCGAGATACAACTATTTGAAAATCTTGAAAACCAAATGAAGTTCTTAGCAATGCATAGCCTATTACTAACCAAAATTAGGTTTTGATATATTTACGGTAGAAAATGTACTAAATATCTTCATAGAACATGATCTTTACTTAATATCCTAATGATTTTTGGCATAAAAGAAAAATCGATCATTTTGACCCATACAAATATACCCGTGCATTTTGTGACTGGTTTGTGGTCCAGGGTCACAAATTTGCCGATTCAAGTCTCCTATACTTCCACTAATCGAGGATGAATATATCAACTATAGGCATACACTAGTCCTACACTTGAAATGAAGGAAACATGTCGTCTGTGTGTGATTCTGAGTGTATACCTACATGTGGCCACAGACGGCTATTCTACTGAACACTACTGATGCATACTACACATTTCAGTTTTTTCCTTTTCTTTCTTAAATATTTTTGTTAATTTATTAATCAGAATGTGTCTGTCTCCCTGGATGAAAAACAACAACAACAGCAAAACAAACAAAGGTAGCATCTGTTACCAAAACCCTTAAGACTGTACTTAGCGTGCAGCATCTTTTTATGTACTAAATATGTAAACATTTTTGTTTTCAAGTGCCATAGCTAGTGTGAAGTGAAGCTGAATGGCATTACGGGGTAGATGCTTTACTGTATAAGTTGTTTACCTGAGAAGCAATCAAAAAGTGGAATTCAGATACAAGTGTGAATAATTCAAACAACCAACTGTTTGTTGTTCATGGAGAACGGGCTCTGATTGACAGAAATTTAGCGCATGTCCACAATACAAGTAAAGCACATGTAGCAAGGGAGGGTGGGGGCTTCTGTTAACTTACCAACAGTCTGAGTGTGTGTGTGTGTGTATGCGTGTTGTATGTACTGTATATGTGAGTTGGGCTTTAAGACAGTATATAAGTGAATGGTGAATAGCACTTTGTGTGATGGACTGAATATGTGCACATACTTGTTTGAGTCGGGGTTGGGGGGGGGGGCTGGGGGGCTTGATGTGCAAGCATTGTGAAATGGACATGTAAAAGTACTGATTAATCGAGACCTTAAAGTCTCTCCTCCATGTTGTATATACTAAGCGAAGGACTTAAGTGATTTTTGTTAAATTCTATATTTTATGGCTTTTGTAGACATTTCTTTGTGGGATAAAAAAAAATAAAGAACATTTTATGGATGCAATCTCGTCTTCATTTCACTTTATTATTAATCAGTCTTGTGTTCCAGTAAAAATATCGAAACTTCCTTAAAACAAGATCAATTTCTTTTAGAAACAAAAGTGTATAAGATTAGAGAATAGTTTTATTTAACCCTTTTGCAAATGTTCTAATTGTAAACATAAACCTCTCTACATTTGTTTAGATTTATGCTTAAATAATTAAAAAAATTGCCATTGAGTAAAAAATTTTATATATTTTCTGAGAACAAGTCTCATCTTACGCAGTAAGATACTTTGGCAGCAGAATTGGATGAGACGTTTGCCAGTGAAGTACGAAGAACTTACTTCAAGATCTTACAAAAACAATTGAAATAAATTTATATTTTTTAGGATGTTTGGTTTTTTTAGTTTTTTTTTTTACTTGAAAACAGACAAGACTTGAAGACAAAAATACTAAATTAGATTTTTTATATATATATATATCGAAACAGGATGTGAACAAGCCGAGCTCCCTGGAAACTGAGTCTACTTCCAGGTTAGAGGTTAAACTGTGCTGCTCGTCTCATCAAAGGCAGGAACTGACTTCCTTTGGCTGCCGCAACTCTTCAAATCTGAAAAGCCAAACACAATATACTCAATTGTGATGCATATTCATAATTTATCACAGAGAGATGCTTTTCTTAAGATCCAAAATGAAATTTGTGGATTGCACATGAATAATTTGTTTTGATTTGATGTGGTTCTTGGAGAGGACGAAGACGAATAAAAAACAAAGCACCTTTGAAATATCAAACAAATGTGGCGGAGTGGTTTTCGTTTGTTTGTTTATTTTTTATTCCTGTACTTCTGAAGCAAAGCCTCCCTCTTGATACAAACAACAGGCATCTCATATGTCTTCCATGAGACGGTAATTAATATCTAATCAAAGTCAACACTCTCTAACGCACAAAGAACTATTAAATATGTAATCAAAGAGAACACTCCACATGCCACAAAGGAAACCACGCCCCTCTTCTGCATGCCTTTGCTGTCATGGAAATGAAATAATTTCTGCCTCATTAGAATTGTTTTTCTAAACCTTCAGGCTTAATTAGATGGCTTTTCCTGTTCATTTTGAAGTTTGCTCTTTTCAGACAAACTCTCAAATCACTTCTAAAGTTGGCGACATGGAGGTATGCCATGTGGACGTATTTGCGAGAGCCGCCACTGCAGGGAATGAAAAATAGAAGGGTACTGAAAGTTCAACCCTCAGGCTGTGACATGAGTGTTACCTCACCTGAGAGACCGAGCTTCTTGCAGCAGGAGTTGCAGGTGTGCTTGAGAACAAAGCTCTGGATTGCATCATCACCCAAATTGGCAGGTCCAAACGCCATCTCTCCAGAGGAGCTACAACAGGAGCAAACTTTACTTAGAAGCAGCTTAAACAAACGCATTGAGAAGTACAAATCTTAGCAAATACATTGAAAAGTTTTGGATGCTACACATCTACCTTTTATCATCAACTCTGATCAGTGAGGGGTCTGTGAGGTCCGCTCCCACACCTTCAGCCAAAAATAAAAAATCAATTCATCACCTTTCAAACAATAATAATAAATACAGGCTCTTAGAGTAAGCCTATCTTATACCTTGTAGATCCAGCACTAGCAGTTCCCTGTTGGTGTACTCGTATGTCCAGTGAGAGAACGCTAGTATTGCTTCTTCCAGACCAGAGGAGGGCGAGATCTCCTCTCCTGTATTATTGTTGTATTTCCTGAAATGACCGCTCATGTTCTTCTCAACAGTCAACCACTGGCCGTCAGAGCGCCAGTGCAGCAAGGAGACATCCAGAAACCTGCACACATACACGTGCTTAGATTTATGTATGCTTGGTCATCAACTTCTTGCCATCGTAATAACACAGAAAGGATTCATAATGCTGACCTAGGACTGTAGGGCACACTGCTGGGTTTAATTTGGTTGAATCGCTGCATGAGTTTCTGTGCTGCTCTCTGTTGTTGGATTTCCTGCAGGGTGAAGAGAAATTAGTCAACAGAGAAGCAGAGAGAATAATAGTGAATAATAAAACCTGCAAAGTGATATATAATAATAAATACAGTATATAAATAATTAAAAATAATTTCATCAAAAATTTAAATATCTATCTATACATTTATGTACTGTATATATATATATATATATATATATATATATATAAATATAACTACTATCAAAATTTGGGAATTTGATAAAATAATGCAGTAAAATTTGTATTGTGAAATATTACTACAATTTAAAAGAACTGTTTTCCATTTTAATATATTTTAAAATGTAATTGGCATAGCAATTTGCCTTCAGAATTGCCGTGATGTCGCATGATCTTTCAGAGATCATTCAAATATGCTGATTTGGTGCTTAGTTATTATCGATTATTATTGGTGGTCAATTAATAAATAATTAATAATGGTTCTTATTATCAATGCTGAAAACAGTTTTTGCTGCATGATATTTTTGTAGAAACCCTGACTTTTGAATGGTAGTGTATCATGGTTTCTACAAATATATTAAGCAGCAAAGACTGTTAATAAAAATTAGATGTTTCTTATACACTGCTTCTCGAATGTTTCTTAAAGTAGCTTATTAGAATTATTTCTGAATGATCATGTGACACTAAAAATTGGAGTATTGGCTGCTGAAAATTCAGTTATTTTAAATTGTAATAGTATTTATATTACTATTTGACCAGCCTTAGTGAGCATATGAGACTTTAGAAAAGTTTGACCAGTTTTAATTGTGTGTGTGTGTGTTTGTGTGTGGTATATACACACATAATTAAAACATCTGCTGTATATACTAAGTGTAAAAATGTAAACAACTAAATTTACATGCATCAATTGTAGAAATGTACAGTTAATTTATTTAAAATGTAAAAACTGTACCCGCAGACAGAGATGAAGTGAAGTGCTGATTGGGAACACTTTCTGCCAGATGCAAACCACCTCCGGCCTGAAGGACTTCACCACATATACTGATCCCAGCTTCAACACATCACCCTCAGCCCAGGTACACACCACCTTGGTGGCCCTGCGCAGACCCCCATCCAGCACCTCCTGGTGGGCTAAAGGCTGAAGAACAGCTGTACGTCCGTGCTGAATCCAGGTGGATATTTTAGAGGACTGATCTTCAAGTGAAGACTCTGCTTCCGTCTCCTCAAGTGTATAAATACAGACCTCAACACCACCTGCACAGAGCAGAGGACATTTATGTAAATAACTCAATCTGGCTAACGCTGGTTTAAAAAACTATGGTTTGATTGTTTACCCAATAATGACACAGGGGTGAATGGTATAGAGTGAGCTAGTCTCATAAGGTTGTTCCTCTCCATTGCTAAAAGAAAAAAAAACAACAGAGACCAAAAGAGATCCATCATATCCACAGAATAACAAAACAAAATATTTGAGGTTATAAAGTCTAATTACTCACCTGAGTAATGCTGGCCTAAATCTTCAGTCAACTTAAATGTAGAGCTCTTTACTAACATTGCACATAGACAGAGCACACCAAAATCAATCCCATGCAATTTACTCACAGCATAAACAGAATTACCATAAAAGTACAAGTAACTTACCTTCTTGTGTCATGCTACTTACCCTACAAGAAGTAGAAAAATTAGGTGAACAGTTAGAAATATTTCTTCTTAATAATTAACGTCTCATCAAATCAAAAGCTGAACTTACGAGGGTCTTTGACTGATAGACCTGGCCCAGCT